TTTCATTATATTTAATAGCTAATATGTAGCTTTATTTTCTCATGACGTCTTGCATTCTTTGTCGTTCTGAAAGATTTTAATGAACACTTTTTTGGAGATGCTTGTTCATCCATATTTAATCAAAGCATATACATAGCATCAGAAGAAAGCCTATAAAAGCTATCTTATTGCTTGTGATGCGAATGTTATATGGTATTTTGGCTCAATATTGGATACGAAAGCTCTTTAATATTGAGATAAAAACATAATAGGGATACAATGTTGTGTTACCAATGCTTGAGAAGCCAAACTTTTGGCGTGTGGAGAGTGTTAAGCATCCACATTACTATATCAGTAGCATTGATTTGTACTTGACAATAAAAGACACTGATAATGTAGGAGTTGTTTACACTATCGATATATACAAGTTAAATTCTTATTTGAAATGTCACACAGACGTGTGAGATTCTATCATTTCCTTCAATTTACGACTTTTCTTACTCTGGAATTTGTTGGCTTTTGTGTGTTTGATTACTATGCAGAAGATGCATAAACACAAGTGCCAATAGTCGATACTAAATCACCATAAAACAACATAGTTGTTGATCAAAACAAGGACATAAACTTTGTTTAGGATGTTGTGAACATCATGTGCTCTACAATTTTCTCTGTTTAATAGCATAAACTTGATAACATTAAGGTTTAAAGTTTTTATTAATTCCTTTAATTGCTGGTAGCAGCAATATATGTATGTGTGCACTAGAAAATGTATTTGAATTTGCACCTTCCAATTTGGGGCGCGTAAAACACTTCCTACTAAAGGAAACTTACTTGAACTCGAAACATCTGATTAAAGAAACCGAGAACTTTTATTTATCATTTCATCAAAATCTTTGGTGATAAGAATAAGATCTCCCCTTCTTTGCCAAAGACAACTTACTCAAACACGAGACATTTGGTTAAAGAATGAGTACTTAACATTCAACTACTACCTTTGGTGATAAGGCCTACTGGCCCCTTCTACTAGTACCTTCATCTTCTTCTTTCATTTGTTCTGAAAAACAGTTGTGGGGATGGTTGAGAGTAATAAATGGAGAGTAGTACAATAATTATTCAACTCACTTCAATAACCATAAACTTTTCTACATTGACAATGTAAAAAAAAACTTTTACACCTTAAAATAACTTGGAACTAAATCTAGTAGCATTGATTTATACTTGCTAGTAAAATACACTGATAATATATTTTTAAAAACATATATTATATAAGTTTGTGGTTGTATATATTAGGTATTCATCTTTAGAGATTTGTCTTACATAGTTGCCAACTTAATTATTAAAATTATCTTACTTTAAAGAACTATACATTGTTAGCTAAAAAATTGTAATTTAAAAACTAACTGTTGTTAATTTACATAGTTATAATTTTGTTCAAAGATAGTTGCAACAACTTAGAGATTGATACAGCAACCAGTTTAGCTCCATCATTTTTTTTTATTTTTTTTTTTCACTCATGATATCCGATATTTAAATCGTGTGTCCCACTTCATCGGTAAAACACTTCTTATCAAAGATAATTTACTTATATTAAGTAGTAATTTACGTCTAGAAATTTAGAAAAATAAATAGATATAGATAAAATTTATATAGATTTTAGGCCTCTAATAAAAATTTCGCTTTAGGCCACAAATTATATTGAGCCGCTCCTGTCTTCTACTAGTCCCTTTTTTGTTTTTATCAACAATTGATGACAAACATGTTCCTAGATGTTTCGTTTTAAAACAGAGCACCACTAAAATAAAAAATAAGAAAAAAGTATATTAAGTGGAAATTAATCACTAGTCTTCTAGTAGTTAAATAATTCAACATCCAACCAAATATATTATTTAGTCTTCTTATAACAATATCGTTTATATATAATATTATACCAATTTTTAAAAAACTGTATAAAAAAAATAACTAATTTTATGTAGAAACTACAAATT